TGACAGGGCAGAAGAATCTGTGAATATCAAGTGAATAAGTTATAATTGGGAAATCCCCATGCTTAGAGTGAAACTGTAGCATACCTACATGACAATAGTACACAACTGTAGAAGTACTGGAACACAAATTTGCTGCAAGTCAAGGCAAATAGCTAATAACTAATATATGCAACCCAAAAAATGAGGAAAGATGTTTGCTTCTTTCTGGCTTCCATTCGCCTCTTCCATCCTACCATAGCGTCACATGAAACAGACAGATTCCCATGTACAGTAGATTATATTACAACCTCTTACAATGATTGTCGGCCTAAATTAATATTTTAGCTCGACTTCTACATTCCAGCATTAGCATTACACTTGAGAAGTAAAGGGAATTAGTGCACTCTATACCTGCTAATGTGGTGGAGAACATTCAAAAGAAATAAGCACTGAATTCATGTTATGCTGCTGGACAGCAACCTCCTTTGCTGCACGGTTAATGGCTTCTGTAATGGGCTATTGCGTTATCCTGGCAAGGTTTTATGGAAATGAAGGGCTTTGTTCCAATGAGCCTGTTGTCTTGAATGTGTGTCTTCCATCATTTTATACTGAGACAGCAAGGTTGTTAATATTCCTTCAGCTTTTCTAAAACAACACTGAGACAAAAAAGGCCAGAGTCACAGGAGGCCTTAAAGGGACAGAGTATGTACTACAAATATGAGGGAAGTTCTGCCAGGCACATTGGTGTTTGACTGGTTTCTGAGTCTGACTGCAACACAACACACCCCAAAAATAACTTTTTATTTCAAGTTTTGCATTTTGGCACCCTGCAACAGCGGTTAAAGTGTAAATGCAGAAATCATAGCGTCATGTTCTTATTGTAGAGACCTCCATGCTTTCAGGAACATGAAGATATCAAACAATAATTTAACTTTAACGAGTAGAACTTTGATCTTATTTTCAGAGGTTTGTCGTTTCTCCTGGTTAAGATGACGTTGTGCTAGTATTTACTGAGGTCTAGGAACACAGCTACAGCCTAAGTCTAATGGGGCAAGACACTCAATCTTTTGGACAAAAGGATCCATTGTAAACAAGCCAGCACTTAAGTGATGAAATTAAATATAAAACAAACAAACAAACATGAATTATCTGTTCACCACATTGCATTGTGTATCCACAGAAACATTGCTTGGAGCAGAACTTCAAATCCAGTAAAAAAAAAAATGGTGCGATGTCAATTATTGAATGCGTTTGCTGCTTTGTAAGGAACAGGTATTTTAACAAAAAAGGTGAACTTGTGTGGGGCTTCAGGCTATAGCAGTGAAATAATGCGTGAAGTTGTTTTCTGCAGCATTTCTTTTAATATGTATTTTTGTGTTCATGTACAGCGCTATCGCCCAAACCAAAGCAATTATTATCTTAACTATTTATTAACCAAGAACAGACCGGAGGAGTCTTAAAAGTGCAAGATCTGAGATTGGGAGCATTTCCAATCCCGCTCAACATGTCGCTGGTGAGCTGGTGGCAAACGTGCTGACAGAGCTGTAACTGCCGTATGAGAGCAGTGACCGGCAGCCATGAGCTAACCAGCAGGGCACACACAGAGGGAGGGCAACTTCCTTCTCTGCTCAGGTAGACATTACTCCACTATCTTTTATATTGCAAAGAGTTGTTTGCTCTATGAATGTTCGTTTAAACAATTAAGATCCACAAGTGCACTAAAATCGATAGCACACTACCTAAAAGTCCACGTGCAATACTCTGCCTACTTTTTCCACATTTGTTACCTCTGTTGTGCCACCTCTGCGGCTGCTGCTGTGTATGTGAAAATTGTCGAAGCAAGCTTGCCAACAATTATATTGTTGCTTTCCTGTCTGTGCTAGCAACCTGGGACCACAACAACTCTCCCAATTTCTCCAAAGCTTGCCGAGACGTCTGTTGTACATCGATGCCTTGGTGTCTTTAGGTGGTGTATGTTTGCTTGGTGGTATCGGTTACCTGTGACGTTGCCTGTGTGCATATGATGCCTGCTAATTTATGCGTGCATGCTGCCGTTTTATCTGTGTATGGAAGGTGCACTGGTATTGATTGTGAATTACTTTTTTAGTCGCTGAGCATCATTTTCTTTTGGTGGTTGTGACTTGGTGGGGATATACAACTCATCTTTGAGTATCATTGGTGTTAATGTCTGACTAGTTGTCACATACAAGCCGAGCTCCTGTTCATGATCTGATGGCCATCTGCCTGCCATTGCTACAATTCATCAGAAGAGATGGTTTGGTTTTAGTACGATCACAAGGAGGGTTCTGCTCGTCCAAAACACAGTGGGTGAGTCTGTACCTAATGCAGTTTTTGGAGGGAGAATGTAATAGTTTCCTACTCTTCTCCATGCTGAACTTACCTTCTGTGAGTGACGAAGTCAGAGCATTGACGCCAAATACTTACTGTACTTATAATATAATAGAATGTAATATAATATGATACAACTCCACATGAGCTGGCTGTCTGAATTGATTTCAGAATACATTACAGAAAAGTGCCTCTGACTTAATCGATAGGTGTCTGTAAGAGGAACGCTGAAGATTTAAGTGTGCGAGGAGTTCACAAGCTCAGTTGTGTCTCAAAGCACATTGCACTTAAAAGTCTATGTTCAGCAGCTAATGTATGTGGGTGGTGTTTCAGTGATTTTTCATGGATTGGCTCGACAGATGATCGTAACTGATCGGATGGGAAGTCTAATCCACCCAACAGTCAACAGCATTCAGATTTGCATTCTGTTTACATGGGTCACTGTGCTCAACTGTAACACCTTCAATTAACTGAAACTATTGGATCTGTCACTGCATTTAAATGCAAGCTTAAGCCCATTTAGCCGAAGACCAGGGACAAGTCGTTTGCATATGATATATATAAATGTATGACAGTGACTGTACGTCATAGCATAAGTAAAATAATTGCTTTGAGCAGTGCTGACAAAAATTCCGCTGTCTGGAAGACATTAACACTGTGTGGTAATAAATTCAGGGTAGTTAAGGCGATGCTGTAATGGCTGTGCTGTGGTATGCATCATCCTCAGCCAAAGAACTCGGGACAGAGTTTTAAAAAGGGGTGCAAAAAATGCTGCTTAAACGCTCATTTTGATCTGTAATAACAATTTAAATATCTGAAATGTATACCTGTCTTGTTAATTAAAATGAATCGGAGGGAAGGGCCAGGGTAGGTACAGGACATTGTTCCCGAAGCTATAGTTGGGTTTTATGGATATTTCTGATTCACAGGCATCCCAGCAGAGTGTCCCTGCTGGTTTTTAACACATCTGTTTTTCTTTCTAACTGCTGCTGTCATGGAGCCTATAGTGGCTGTGAATAGTATGACAGAGATTTATTATTTGTCTTCCCTTTGCTATACTTGGAGGCTGTATTCTTTCTTTCTTTTTGGAAGAATTACCATCAGTGTGTGTTTGATTCACGCTCCTTATAATTAAGCACATATCTCATTTTGGCCTTTTTGAAAACTGGTTTGTAGCTGAAAAAATGTAGTAAATTAATCGGGCACAAAAAATATGTTGCAAACACGCCAGCTGCCTATTCTTACTGAGGGCTGGCAATTGTTTTAGGTGCTCATGAATTATGATAACTTTGGTCCCTTCCACCAGTTAGTAACATCTTTTCCAATACCTCCTAAATCAATGACATTCCCATGAGCCTTAGCTGTACTTTGAGTGTAGTGCTAATTAGTGAATGTTATGATGCTAACACTCTAAGCTAAGAAGGTGAACATCCATAGGTTAACATTGTGTTAGTATGCTGATGTAAGCATTAACTCAAAGGGCTGCTGTGGCTGAATAAAGCACTGCCTACATGGCTATATCACACAGTACTAGTCTTTTGTGATATAGTGCAGATACAATACTGCACCTGGGTTTCATTACAGACACCTTTTTTTTTCACTTTGATAAAACGTTTTTCTACAAAACACTGTTTCTATTCTCACTTAAATGTTGTCTATAGGCACAAGAAGCCATTCAGAAATGTTGCTGTGCTTTGAAGCAAAAGCCACATTGTCTTCCAGCAATTCCCTCTCTCACTCTTTCTGCTTCACAGAGCGGTTCCCGCTCTCCTCCTCCTCCCCCTCCACACACACCCCTGTTCACACTCTGTTGATCAGCTCAGGAAAGGGAAAGTGCTTGTGTGAAACCTGAGGATCACTTGCAGACTGAGGAAGCAGAGAGTGCGTGCACATCGTGTTTTTATCCTGCAAGGTAAGATGATGCTCAGATGAACAATTTATAGCAGTTAGCCTTCACACTCGACCTCAATTTCTGTGCATTCATTGAAGGATATAAATTTGCGATGTGAGAGCAAACCAAAAAAGTCCTCTAGTCAGAGCAGTTGATGATCTGTCGATGTTTGAAACTTTTGCTCTTGGAATGGGACCTTCAGGTAGAGTATCACTAGGTCGTGTTTTATTTAGTAATGTCATACAAGTTTATTTTACTCTGCGATGATTATCTGGACACAATCGGGATGTTTGCTGGTTTAATTTGACAATCTATCAGTGTGAGTCGGCAAAGGATTGCAGGTCAGTTTGCATGAAGACAGTCTAACTGGTACATTTACTTTTACCATCGATAGTCCTAGAAGAATAACTTGCCTCCTTGAAACTAAGTATTTTAAAGGGCATGCTGAAATGTCTTGCATTTCATTATGGCCATGCATAACTGGCAAAAAAAAATAAAACATACCAAATTAGCATATGTTCTCAGGTGTATTGACTGGACTTGACAGTTTGTTTTGCATGCTGCTGTGGCTATTTGTGTTTAGATGTTTACCAGAGGCAGCTAAGGGGTCATTACTTTAAACACGCAGTTCTTTGAGAAGTACCCAAATAATTAGGCCTGTATAGAACTTACTTAGTTAAAGTCCTTGCAAATAATGCCACACTATATTTATAAATAGAGAAGTTCCAGCCATGTGTACACCAAAGAAGAGGACCCAGTGGAGGGAGGACCTTCAGCACATCCGTAAAGACCACGGCTTCTCCAAGAAATTCCTGATCAACTGCTGCCTGGTGCGGCGCATCATCACCTGGGCCTCCCCAAACCCAAAAGGTACAAAAACCACAGATATATGGCTACAGATGGCAGCTATGATGAACCAAGGTGGTGGAATGTGATTTAATTGCCTCTCATTCGTTGGATAATTGGTTGTCAAATTCTTAGTTTAGTCAGAGTTAGTCTAGATTGTTGTTCCCAGGTCCCTGGGATTAGTAAAAGAGATTACCAGATTAGATAAAGTGGCTAAATATGTGGATAGATAGATAGATATATATAGTTTTCTGCAAAAGGGGAATAGCTGTGTTTTTGGGGTGTGTGTAGTCAATTATCATTTTGCACGGATAGCAGGGGTCGAATATCAGCCTTTTTCAGAGGAAAATAAACATTTTCTAAGGCTAAGCACTGACATGTTATTTATGCATTCTGTAGAAACCGGTGCCTGGTGAATTTGTCAACTTCAAAGGGCAAATTAGAATCTAGGGTCGATAATGTATTTATCACATATTAAGTATTATTCATTACATAAAGTATTACAAGTGCAAAATAACATTTACTCTTCTTTCCTATACGTAGTCAAAAGAAAGTGGAGAACTGCAGAACTAGGTCCGAGAAATATTCGAAGTACAGTGTGCACTTAAAGAGGACTGCAAAAACCACTGAGTAAACTAATTACATGCATTTGAGATTGGATTTAACAGTAACGCTATACACTCATTAACTGTCCCGAGTTCTGACTAGACAAGATGCAGCAAAATCCCCGGAGTCCAGAATGAACTCTGTCCAAAAACCGCTCGGGCTATCGTCACCATATGAAACACATTAATGTGGTATTGGTCAGTCGGGCAGTTAAACAAAGGGATAACACTCGGCTGTCATTGGCCAAGGCCATTGCATCACATTTAGATCCGTCTGAACTTGAATTAAGCCCCCTTTCTTAATCGAGGACATAATTAAAAGTTTTCTCTTTGAAAGCAGATTCATGAAAACTCAATTAGATATTGACATTAAAAAGAAATGTGTGCTCTAATTATTAATCGTTATTTAAGTTGGTGTTATGCACATAAACTGTAGGTTGATATATTTAAAATCATGAAGATTGGTAGGCTTTTCAATATGGCTTTTTTTCTGTCTTGTGTAGTGTGCACTTCATTTTTCCAAAATATTTTTGTGCAAAACTTTTTCAGTTTTATAGTGTTTATTTGGCCTCAGTGAAAGTTATGAGATTGCAGTTTCTTTGCTTGTCTTCTATTTTCGTTGTTGCCGTTGAGCTGATTGTTTCATAGCTCAGTGACATGTCAAGTATTACCATAAACCTGGAGCTTTTAGGTGTTCCGCATTGATATGGCTTGTTAGATAAACGGGTATTATTTAGAATGCTATTAAACAGTCATGAATTGCACTGTAGGGACTAAATGACATCTGCAATGAAGATTTTTCTGCAGGGGAAAAACAACAATAGAAGGACTCTAAAACAGCTGTTCTTCATGAATATGAATAGCAATATTATGCATATTCATCTTTCTTAGAAAAATATGAAACTTTTCTCATTTTGTATTGATAAGAGCGGTGTCGGTGGGGCAGGTGCGGTTTCTTGATCGCATAATCAGTGTAGTCTCCTCTTGTACTTAGCTTTGGTTATTGTGTGTGTGTGTGTGTGTGTGTGTGTGTGTGTGTGTGTGTGTGTGTTGTGCGTCTGCACAGTTATCATGAAGGTATCCCTATGATAACATGCGAGCTGGCGGCCGTATTTGGAGCCACACGGGGACCCAGGTGCTTCTGTCGGGCACTTTTGATTTTGACAGAGCACTTGCTTCGACTTTCATTCCGTTCACTGCTCCTTTTTCACTGGAAACGTGCTGCCTCTGTCCCAGGGCAGGGAGCTAAACAGGACCAGAGTGGTATTAAGAAAGACAGTAACTTCTTACGATAACATTGAGTTTTCGACCCTTTTAGTTGGGTATGAAATTGAAATTTCACCTGCCAAACTGCCGAGCACTGCTGTCAGTTGTGGATTTCAATTTCAAGTGACGTTTTTTTCTGAATTTCTGAATTTTATACAAACATCAAGAAAATCATGACTTATAGAGCACAAGTTAAAGCAGTACTGTAATAATAAGTTAACAGCAACATTGTTTGTTCGTAGGTGTTCTTCTCATAAGATGGCGTCACTAACTAATAATATTATTCATTGTGCTGCCCAGAATAAGCTCTCGGCATGCTTATGATCGCACCATAAACCTGCCAGATGGCAGTAGTACCCTCCGGATGAAAAGAGGTGAAGCGGGTGTTGTTAGAAATACACAAGCAGAAGGCCCATGCTGTGTCCACGGACCAGACCTCCGCTGTGAGAGAGCAAGGTACAAATCCCTGCTGTCGCTATGAAGGAAATAATGACATCCAGTCCTGTATGTCAAGATTTTACTGTGTTACAAAGATTACATTTACACTCAATGGGAGGGACAAAAGCTATACTGTTCTTGTGAATATTATTAACTATTTATATATATATATGTGTATGTATATATGTATGTATATATATATACGCACACACGCACGCACGCACGCACCCACACAGAGAGAGAGAGAAACATTGTAGACACCTTATGGTAGAGATCCTTCGCTGTACTTCATGTTTACTGCCAGGAGAGGGCAGCAGGCTACAGAGCAAATGAATGATAACCATGCTCATATACATCGTTTCCTGCATTCAGAGCAGTTTATTACCAGTGCCTTATATAATTGTTCCAATTTAAATATGAAGTAATTTAACGTGATTCATATGGTAGTGACAATACAACATAGGATGTATCGCTGAAAATGTACATCATTTGCTGCAGCGATGCCTGAATAACACTGAAAGAACAACACTAAGCCTGTATTCCGATTAAAGTTGACACTGTTAACTCTTAATAATGCAACATACTGCAGCTATTAACCTGGCTCACTTACAACATCGACAGCAGTGCAGTCTAATAGAATCCAATGCAACAACCCTGCATGACAACACTCCGCCTGAACACATCACGTGTCCTTTTATCACTCTGATAGTGATACTGTCATAAATTCTGCGAGTGTCTGCACTGCAGTAGTAATTCAGTTGGCCCCAAATGCACTCACTATAGCTAAGATGCGTCTCTTGCTGATGGATGGTCGACTCGAATTCTGCTTCATGATTGGACGTTCAAGACGGAGCATAGAGCGTATCAGTGTTCATCAGCAGCAGCTATCAATCGTGGGATCTGCCAACCTGTTTTATTTTTCCCTTATTCCAAAAGAACATGCTGCTCAATGGAAAATCGGTGCAGCGCCATTGAATTCCCACCTTAGGACTGCCTGTCAGGGACATGTCCTTCAAACAGCACAGAAATGGCCTGGAAATCAACTTATTTACTGTTTTGGCCAAGTTAACAGTAATGTTACCTCATGAGGAAGTTTTAAATGTAAGGCTGCATGTGTTCCTTAATCAATTTTATTTGTCAGACTAACCCCTCTGGCTTTTGGGAATTCTACTCAAGATGTATTTGATAACTTTACATCTAAATCCCACCGCTTCCCCTCACTGATTGAGTTAAATTGCAGAGTTTTTTCGCAGTGTGATACCAAATCCCATGATGAGAAGTACTGCTAAAAGGACCCTTAAACCTTGAGAAATGATACTAATCACCATGCTGCTCTACTTTGGAGATAATGTTCAAGATCATTAAGAGAGTCCTGGGGTGTGTGTCCTTGATGAGAGCGCTTCTCTCCAGTGCTATATAGCAAGCAGGATTCTTCTGAATGAGAAATCACAATTTGGTAGGTCACATGTCTGCTTTCGGTAAAGCATCTCACTTTTCATTTTAATCTATTCTCCCACTTGGTCAAGAGTGCAGGCCTCTGTAGATCTGAAGTGGAAAGAGAAAAAGGCAATGATGGATTAAAGGGGAAGTTGAGGCAGCATGCAGCCTCTCAGATCGGAGAAAATGGGAAGAAGAGAGATTGCCATGGGGACTGCTGGCTGGCTCAGATACATGTCTCACTGTTGTCATTCATTTGATTCATATGTTGTGAAAATGGTTGCAGGAGAACGAGGGAGAAGGGATCCAACAGTGATACCTTTCCCTGCCATTAATCTTATTCATGGCGCTAGCTAGTACCTGTGACAGCCAGGAAGAAAATACTGCACCTTGTTTACAACTTTATGATCATCATTGCTTCGTCATGAACGGCAGAAACGTCTCCCGCTGGTCATCGTGCGATGCAATTAATGCTCTGCCTAACAATTCTATAAATGGCTCAAATATCACCACGCCGAAGGACACATGATTCGAGAAACACTTTCCATTATGTCACGCAACAGTGAGCCTGCCGTTCTTTGTCAGACTTGGCTATGACCCACGCCCCTCTGTTGATAAACCGGGGATTAGCAGCTAACAGCCAGGGATTAGTCTGAGAATAGGCGACCCCAGCAAACCGTGTTGTTTTGTAAAACACCTTAAAGTAGCCTGTTGACAGACAATAACACTCACACTCTACCCTTGTCAATTGGATACAGCTAAATGAGATGCCGGGTGGTTCAACACGTGACAGTGTGCTGGTTATCGCTGTAACCAAGCCGGGTCCTTTTTGCCAAGCTATACCAGGAACTCCTTCCACACAACATCATTTATGCAATCGTTGAGTGTTTTTCCACAGACTTGGTAACTCTTAGTTTCTGGGAGGAGGCCATGTGTAAGCATATGGACTGCTTTATCCCTGAACAAACAAAACAACACACAAAAAACGAATCTTTAACTTTTATAGTTCCATGACAGCTACGAAATGAACCCTGTGGTGAGATCGTTGTCTGAGCAAAATATCTTTGGATTCTGGAAAGTTGAATTTGTCACCTTGACACTTGATGGGGAGTTCTCTCCATGTCCTTACATTTTATAGACGCAACCATCAATTAAAACGAAAGATCAACAGATACGTAAATCAACAATGGAAAGTAGAAGTTAGAAAACCTTCCAGCCGGTGCTCACTTCCCTGTTAAATTGAGCACGGACCATGGAGCTTTGAAGGTTCCTAATCTAACTGCAGACTACAACATTAGTTTTGGAAAAGTTGGTGTGAGGCTGTGAATGTCATTAATCATCAACCTCTTCTGCACAACTTATCCTGCACCTGGCCACCGTCTTGTCCTTGCACGCTTTCCTTTGTCCTCTTGTCTGCTGGTGATGCAGCCGTTTGCCGGTAACCTACTTCAGTCAAGTGTTTGTATTCCAGCAGCGGCCCGGGCCCCTCTATAAATAGGTTACCCTGATTGATACCCGGTACAGTGAAACCTCGTAAGCGCTTTGGCTGCCGCAGGGCAGAAATGACTTTCTTGTGTCTGTCACTCTGCTTTAACGCACCTGTCCCTGTCACGGTCTAATTTATCTCCCCTGCCTGTTTGTCAGGCAGCATCCAAGCAGCAGGCAAAGGTTCATTGCCAGGCCTGAAAGTCGATGCAAATTCAATCACATCCCCACCTGGGATAGCGTCTGATAAGGTGTGATGTATTTAATGTTCAACATAAAGGATAGGCATCTCCAGCCTATTGTAATGAGGTATTTCGGGATATATTAATGCCTTGAGTAAAGGTATTTCACAGTAATCTGTAGCATTTGCACATTTCCTAATTAAAATAACACAATACATGTCAAATGTATTCCAAGTTCAAGATCATTTTTACAAAGCTTTTCTAGTTTATGGACTCGTGTGTCTGGAAATAAAGTTGAATAATCACTTGTAATTAATTAATCAATTATAATCCCCCACACACAGAGATATTAACAGTTTATTTTTCCTGCAGCTGATTGGCATGAAACAAAGAACTGTATCATAAGCAGCAGTAGGAGGCTACAGAAAGTCAAATCTAAGGATAGCGATGTCATAATGCAGTGTTTTCGAGCACATGCCCAAGGTTTTTATTTTAATAGGCAACACTGCAGACTGGCTTAGGATATCTTCATCGCAATCTTTTCTCAAGTATTACTTTGACTCAAATGCAGATTTTTGCCACGCATGACAAGCATGTCGCATGCCATGTTGGTGACAAGTGGAGAACAAGGTGTGGGCACTGTCCCAGATGGCTGCATCAACCTGTCACTGTCGGAAGAAAAGGAAATGAGATTGAAGTCCTACTGGGAGCATCCCACTGAAACTGCCAACCAACAGTGCATGTGTTTGCAGAATGGTGTTGGACCGTATCGCAGAAGTGCACATTGGAAATATTTTGACATTTACATGCCATTTTGTGATGTAAAGTTGCAAGCAGATTGTAATTTTGGGACAGTTTGGATAGTTTTATAGGCAATGCTGTTTAATTGTCATTTCCCTGTGTAATGCATCTTTAAAGGAGTGTTTATTCTAGCACGTTGACTTTAGCTGTTCCTCACATTTTTTTACTTCATTGATAAAAAATAAATAAATGGCAAGAGTCCACAAACTGAGCAGGAAAGACTGAAGCATGATTTGGTATAATGTGAAATGGAAATGGACTATCTGAGGCAAAAGTGCAGTTAAAAAACATTCAGGAAAGCTTTGAGAGAGTAAAGGCCTTTACACACCAGGGTGGTGGTGGTTGTTTTTTGAGCGATTTTTATTCGCACATGAATATATTTTTTTTAAACTGTTTTTATCACAAGTACTTTAACACAGAACGTGCTAGTTTTCCTGGAGCAATGCTCATTTTTCTTAGCTTTCGCACTGCGAATAAAGCCATCAACCAATCGTGTTGTGCAGAACAAACATATTCAATTCATACAACACGGAGGCTCTGTGGTCTGAACTGAGACGGCAAACTTTATTACTCCTTTCAACCTTGACTAATGCAGCACATGCCAGATCCACTCCTTCTGTTCGTACCTTTCACAGTAAAACCCCTCGACACTGCGTAAATATTTGCCAGTGGGAACTCAAATTCACTCAAGAGCATTTCACCAAAAAGAAACTCAATAGAATAGCTTACATTAACTCAGGCTATACAACAGTTTACTTCAGAGAGACGGCCAGACGCTGCTCTGGGTCAATAGGATTCAAGAAGACGGTCCTTTGCCTGCGTAAATGTATTTGAACCTTTTATTTAAAAAGTGCTGCAACTGACGGTTTATTCGTCCTGCCCCCGATGTGTAAAGGCCTTCGAGAGGTTTTTAATGCTATTGCCATTTGAATACTCAGTTTTATGTTCCATTACCCTGCAGTTAAGCCTGTGGGACAAGCAAGCAGGGTAAGATACTGTGGAAGTGGAAGCAAATCAGACCACTGCAGCCAAGAGAGACATCTGCGAGCAGATACATGGTAGAGAGAGAGAGAGAGAGAGAGAGAGAGAGAGAGAGAGAGAGAGAGAGGTAATTGGCAGGCTAAACATTGGAAGGAACAGATAGGGGACAGTGCATGTACAGGAAAAGAGACGGAGACTGATGGCTGAAGGTGGACGCTCTGTCCGAAAAGTGATATTTTACAGCATAAATCTGGCTGGCTGCAACAGAATGAAAACCTGCTCCTCTGAGACACAAGAGGACATTTTTTTTTTAACAGCCTGGAGTCTGCTGCAGCCGCACTGATAAACCTGGACATGTTTACCGTGTTCATCTTAGATTAGTTTGTTGGATGCTAATGTTAGCTGATACAGGGCTACAGGTTTACCTGCTAGTAGCACAAGAGTTGGGATCACCCACGCTTAGTTCTCTTGGAGGCATGAATGTGTACAAAATTAAATAGCAAACCATACCGTAGTTAAGATAGTTCAGTGTGCACCAAGGTGGCGGACTGACTGATATTTCCAAGCAAGGGCTACGGCGCTTAGCGGAAAAAGGCTTGATGAAAAAACTTTCATATTCCTTAAAGGTGGGTGCTGAAAGAAATAATGTTCTGATACCAGTACGGAAATGATAGTACATATTGGCATTATTATTGGAACATTTCAACCAATACTGAGCCCTATATTGGAATTGCATCTTAGCTTCTAGTCAGACTGAAATGATCAGTTTCCCTAGAAACACCAGCCAGTGCCTTGTGGCTTGAATTGCTTTTCTTGTGCTGTGAAAGAAAGCTCACTTTGTTATCTTTGTGTCATAGTGAAGGTCCTTTTCTTGCTGTACAACTGTAAATTGGTGTCTTATTGGTAGCATCGACCCGATCCAGAACACTCTTTTTTTCTATGGTATTTCTCGGTTTTTTCACTTTCACAGAGAAGAAGGTTAGAAGTTTCTCACCCATGCAGCTACACATTAAGGGCAGCCTCTATATTTGCTGCTCCACTAATGGCACCCGTCCTATTTGTTCTCGCTTGGGGGAAAAACCAGGAGTATCGGTGCTCCCAGTGGACGAGGCCTGTCCTTCTTAAGTCACTGTTGTAGTTTGTGCAAGTCGGTCCGTCGGCAGACGTACGCACTGCAGAAATTGGGTCAAGAAACCACCCAAAATGAGGTCATGGAAAATGAGCTCTGGCCTGCAGAGCTTTTTAGCATGGCACAATATACGCTTTGTTATGACAGTTAACTCCGGCTTAACACTAACAGAGTCACTCGCCAGAATAAATTGTCTGCACATGAGTTCTTGCTGTGTGTTTGTTTGACATTGAGGTGAAGTAACGGCACCTATTCTGGAGTAATAGTTATTGTTCATTACACTCAGGCTGTCGTGTACAAGCCTGGATTGGTGCAACTTGTTCAGTATCTTTAAATGATTGAATTGACTGTTAGATCATCAAAGAGATTCGTTACATTCAGTACATTGCCCATACATCCAGACGCATGCAAACGGTGCTCCACGAGTTGGGGAAATGGCATCTTTTCTGAAAACAGAGAATATTCGCTCACCACATAATCGCCTTGTGATGCATTTTCTCATACTTCGAGGAATGCTTACTGGTAATCCACTTCTGCTGATGAATTTCTAACATGATGGCAGTGGGTAATGATCATTTGTACTGCATGGTGGTGGATGTAATTTGCCTATTCCCAGGGCAGCAACTAAGTTGTTTTATTTTTCTCATCTTCAAGGCAGTCATTCAGTAAATAGCTTTTTACAAGAGAGAACAGTGTTATGTCCCCTGGTGTAAAAAGGTTCAAGGGAAGACTTCATGTGTAGCTGCAGAATAAGGGAATTAAAAGTTTGTTGATCGGATGACCATATTACCTTCCTGCCACATCCCAATTCCTCTGTGCGGCTTTTATAGGCACACAGTTGTTTACCTGTTACTTACTGTAAGCTCTGAACTAATCTTATTTCAAGAATTTCATTTATATAATAACTTTTCTATCATCTGAGGCTACGATGTGAAATGTATTTCACATCTTAAAAATAAAGAAGGAACCAGAGCTGTGACCTGTGAGGCCTTTTTCAGGAACAAATAAGTCGATGGAGGTTGATACTCTTATTTGCTGAGTGTGTTTCTGCTCTGGGCTGGTTAATGATGGAGGCGACCATACGCCAAATCCTGATTGTTCCCCGGGGACTTTGAATGACTTTACTAGTGATGTAATGGGGACTGTAATTTGAATATTGAGCAAGGCAATTTCATGCCGCACCGACTGTACATGGCAGGCCTCCCATTTGATTACTGTAATAATGTGGAGTATACTAGGAACATATTTTTCTAGAAAATGCAACAGTTACACAGACTGTAAGATATACAAATTTCTAGCCGTCTAGCTGAGCACAAATATTGCCAATGAAATCATTAGGATTCATTAACATCTTGTGTTCAATAATGACTGATTTAAAGGTTTTGACCTTCTGCCCTATTCGGGGGATCTCTGATTGAATAGGTCTCATGAGAGAACTCTGGGTAATAAACAACTCTCTCTCTCTTTGTACAGAATTCTACATAAAACATAAATGTATTCACAAAAAACCTACATGTGCTTGAACAATTGCTTAGAACCAGACATTCACTGTCCCCAGAGGATGAATACTTGCATGTCTTAAAAACTGCTGTATGGATTGTCATGTAATTCGTACAGACATTGATGTGCCCCAGAGGACGAATTGTAGTAACTTTGGTGATCCCCTGACTTTTTCCTCTATTGCCATCATTCAAGTCAAATTTTTACATTTTTTCCAATGGTATAGACATTCCTATCAGCTTCAGCAGTGCATTGTATTTAGTGCTTATTAGCTAATAGGCAGATGATGGAATACCCAAAACTAAAATGTGATCAAGCTCAACATCTACATGTTAGCATTGTTGTTAGCTTTGAGCTAAAAACACTGCTGAGTCGACAGTCTTACAAAACCTTTGACATGAGAGTAGACTAAAAAAGTAGTAAAACGAATAGATAAAACATTTCCACGAATCATGTGCACTGACGGTTGTATTTAGTGTCTTTCATCAGCAAGTTAACAAGGACTGACCCCCTTATTGGCTCTATTTACCCTCACATTCAGTGCTCCTGAGAGATTGAGGAAAAGGCTGATTGGCTCCTACTCAGGAAGATTTACACAACCAACTGCCATATGATGACCATATACAACTAGAGTTGTGCAATTATTCGAACATTTATCAAAGTAACAATATTTAAAATCATGAGAGAATGAGCTGTTTGTGTTCCTTTTGAGGAAAAGGTGTTTGATGCAGCTTCTTAAACAAACTGATCAGCATGCGTACTGCCTGGCCAGTACTTTAAGATCGATGCACTAGAACATTTGATTTTATTCAAACCCAAGATCCTTATATAACCCCACATTATCAACAACAGTTGAGCATTTTCAGGCTGGAAATGAAAATGTAGAACTAAAGCTGTTTCCTCCTGTACCAACCAACTCATACCATTGTCAGTGTTGGACAAAAATAATACATGTTTTTTGTCTGTCAATGCAGTGTAACTCTCAAGCCAGATTTAGAAGTCAGTGAGACGTACCCTCAATCTTTCGGTACGAGTTCGGTTTTGTCAGAATTTTCTTTCTTGTGTTTTGGCCTTATGATTATTTCCATAACAATATTTATTGTTGCTGAATTTAAAATTCAACTCTATTTTAAATAGAAGCAGCATTCCAGAGTATACAACCATAATTTAAATGTCATCTACATTTCCCTGGTGCCATACTCTGCCCCCTTTTCCCCATTCAGTCATCTCCCAGAAGATATGTTGAGATTCATGATGTCTGTGACTTTAGTGTGCCATTGTATTTGAAGAACCGGCTGGCCTGAGGAACAGTAATTAGGGGTGGGGGGGGGGGGCCTGACACTTTCCAGATCATTATTGTTTTTGCTCTCAGTGAAAGCGTACGCTGACCCCTCACTCAATCAAACTAAGTGATGAGGTGAGTAGGAGGAGTTCATTACTGTCCTGGGCAAGATGATTTCATTCGTCAGATATATTGTGATTTCTTTCCCATTTCCTTTTATCATTCTCTCTTTCCTCTTCTTACCACTCTTCAATGTCAGAGATATACTCAGGCAGATCTTAAATGTCGCCAGAAATCCCCAAAACCCTTAAACTTTAAGAGAAACAGGCAAAATCTGCAACTAAGATTTTCTGAGTAAGTAAAGCAACATGTTTAACATTAGAAGATATTAGTATTAGTTGTCTTTTGCACTATTTTCTTCTACTTGTATGTATGTCTTTTATGGATCCTTTCTCTGTGCTGCTGTTATGAGGTCCCTTTCCTTCCAATCTAATGCACAATTTATTTAAACGCTTTATGCAGCTGTTCCTTTTAACAGCCTTTGCTTTCTTGCTGAGAGAACGAATAAAATGACATGTGAACAAGAAAGGAAACGTAATCATTGTTGCACACTCGATAAATAAACCGTACCAATAGGTAAAAACAAATCATAGTCGGACTTGCTCACTTATTTGCCTGGTTGAATTAAATTCTAATGAGATTTCCATTTGAAAGTGCACAAGTAATAATATGCTTGAATTATAGGCATTATAATTGGATTCATCTAACGACAAATCAAGTAATCTCAGTCTGACTGTATGAAAGTGTCTACGTGGGTTTGTCCCTTGCATAACCATAACATGATGGGTGTATTGCTGGGGACCCAAGGCAAAGCTTTTTTGAATTTGGTGCAGTGTGGACTTGTGATACGTTCAATATTGATAAACCGTATTATATATTATACAGTGCTCTGTTCAGCAGTGGAGGCGGGGATTCAGGGCTCTGCAGCATGTATTTCCCCATGTGTAGGACTTGATTGTAACTTATAACGTTACCACCAGCAAAATACCTCCGCTAATTAAATCCATGCTCTACTTTACAACAGCAGTGGTTCTGTCAAAGCAAGTGACATAAATACGCCTATTTGGAAATGATCTCCGCTAAGTCTGGTGGGTGAAATGGGCTTTGGCAAGTTTGTACATTCACCATTTTATGTAGATCACGTAAAGTAGAATGATTTCATAAGCACTTGGTTCCTTCAATAACTTTTAGTGCTTTAGCATATTTGCTAACAACCCCCCCGTTAATCGTTAAAGAGCGCTCACCAATACTAAACGCTGCTCTCCGTTGGGTGAACCTTCGAGCATTAGCATCACTGATCAGTGAAGTTCTCTATCAGGTCACCTGCATGCATTATCAAGCTACAGGGGCCATGCATTAACTTCTTTGCCCTCACTTTATAAGATGGACAGCATGCTCCTCTGTTTGAGAAGCCCTCCAATTACACAGGTCAACTGCTCTGCTCACAGATGTAGGCTGAGCTGTGGAAGAGCTGTCTTCGGTTCAGAGCGGCAAAGGCAGTACTTGAGACGCACCAGGCTTTGCCTCTGTTCAAAGACCGAGTTGCAGTCTAAGTGGTCGAAATCAGATGTTTTCCCTTGTGTATCATACAGATAGCATTACTTAATGATGTATGACGTAAGAACAGCACATTATGTCTGACATTTTCGTCTCTGATTTCGTCCACAGGGAGTCGAAAATCTGATACATGAGCAATCTAAAAAGTCTCATTAGATTTCATACAACTTTTATGTCCCCTCAGGACGTTCATAATCCCACAGCGGCGCCCTAACGTACACACTGTTGGCAGTAGTGAGCATGAAGGACATTGTTTAAAGGAGAGATAATGAGGTGTTGGACCTCCATGAGGGTTTTGAGAAATGCTTCATGCTAAAGTACCTATCATAACCGGTCCATGTTTTGAATATGCATATCAAAAGAAATGACTGAACAGGATCACAGGTGAATGTTGCTGCAATGTCACTGCAAACGTAAGAGCCTTGGGGAATGGTTCAGACATCGAATGAATTTAACAAAATAAGTCTTTGGGGTTTATTTTGGTCATGTAACCTTTTCAGATTGGTATTGGATAGTAGCACTGAAATCATAACGTGTGTAACAAAAAGAAACGCAATAACCGATCAAAATTGAGCAATAAGGCTTTCAGTGGGGAAGCAGCTTTTGTTTCAGGCATTAATACAATAATGTCCTTTGAAAAAGAGCTGTAAGTTAATTTACCTATTTCAGAGCCAGCAATTCAAATGCAAACGGAAATAATTCCAGGCCCCTCTCTCAGCTATATGTGAATGGACATACAAAGCGAGTTAGCCTTATCAGTGTCTTGTTCGAGAGCCTTCATCTCCCCAAATAGCCCCAGCCAGAGTTGTAGATAGACGCATCGAAGGAGTGATGACAGAGATGTACAGTAACGTGTTCTCACTTGGAGGAACGTGAGATTGCATTTCAGGTTTGTGCTGTTCTAAGTATCCCATCAGCAGATTCACAATGAAGGGGGTTTTATCAGTTTTCTGTAATGACCTTTTCAAAATGCCCGATTCTAAAGAATGGTAATGAATGCCAATGAAGAGTGACTGCAGTGGGGATCCTGATAAGCATTTAGAGAAAGCGAAATTTTCAAAACCTGCCATACGTTCAGTATGACAATCCATTATGCTGTTGCAACGCGGAGTATTCACACGCTGCATCTACATGGTCTGTAAAGTGCATACAACTGTAAATGGATTTCAATGTGAGGAGGCATCCCATATGCTTTTCAGCATTGCCCTCAGGGAACAGTTGTGCTAACATTAGTACACTGATGTCATCAGCAATTCATTACGGTCCTCGGATATCGACCCGGCTCTCATCTGTAGTGACACCCTGCATTGTCACAGCTACCGCTAACGTTATGATTCAGAAAAGCACCGAGTTGTTTTACTCGGTACATGATCTCAAAATGGTTCTTATCAGCAGCATTTTAGGACACATTATGTGTGGAAGTGTGCTTTCATGTATGCTTAATATTCTGTACATGTACAACACCGAATCAGAATTCCGCAATAAGGTGTCATCTCTTTGGGTTTATCACCTTGGGCTCATAATTGCCATTTCTTACTATTTCCTGACATTTTATAGAACAATCAAGAAAATAATCAGCAGATTTATTTGCAATAAAAATGATCTTTAGTTGCAGTTATATATTTAATTTACTTTATAAATCTAAAGCAGTGTGATGAAATAAGAATTAATTAAAAATACATGGTAATACTTCTTCAGGCAAAGCACAAGCTGTTGTCTTTCTGCTGAGTTAGTCTTGGTCAGCATGAAGAAATTATTATCCATCACTGCTCATTGATTGGTTCCTATATTTGAACCCAGACGGGCTGAAACGGGAATCCTACTCTGCTTTGATTCGTGTCCAGCCTTCACGTCTATTCCCAGAATGCTAACTTGATCTGCCGATGAAAATGCAGCATTAATTGTTTCATGGAGCACTTTATCATCACTAACGCCAAAGATCCCCTCAGACGTTGTTGTTTTTTTCCCCTCCTAATATGCTCTTAACAAATCGGCTAACCTTTTTCCTAATGACAGCTGAGCAAAATCGATAAACCTTTTTTTTCCTAATGACCGCATCTGTGTGCTTTATCTCCATAAAGGTTGCTATAGCAGCCGTTTAGAGTGTCCTGCATCTCCCGAGGCAGGGCTCTGCTCTCTGCTCCCTGTTGGCTGCACAATGCAGACCCAATGTTTAAAGCCAGTCAGTCTAGAAAACCTTTATTTGTACATTTCTGACATTGACAAACCCCAAACAATTCTTCAGATGACAACAACAACAACAAGACTTTGGCAGTCGTATTACGCCTTTGAGCAAAACCGTGAACTGCACTGCACCCATCCCGTTTGTTTATTGATAGAAAGTATGAGCCAGGCATAAATGTGAAACCCCACAGTTCACTCATCCTTTCCTTTTTCATGTTGATGAGGCAATGCGGTCATTTAAGGCCAGGTGCTAAACAATTTAGTTTCATTTATTTCCCGCTGCAAGTGATTGAGGTTTTAACTGCCTCTGTTGAAGTGATATGGATTCAGATCTCATTGCGACTGAACATTCTGACCACTTACCAAGATGTTTATTTATTTATTTGTTGTTTTATTCTCTGACTGTCTGCCTCTCCGCTGTGAGAATGTCCCATTCGACTGTCATTGTGCACGTTTGGCAATGCTGCATCATATTACCACCTTACCATCTTTTGAGGCTCGTGAAATTGTGTATGCGGTAAGCAATTCTGGGCCGAGAGCCCAGACTTAACTGTTCTATCAGAAATCGAATGCATCACCCTTAGTCTTCAGTATATCTACTGTTTCCAGTTATTTTCCCCCTCACTCTTGAAATCATCTGCAGCAGGAATGTTAATGCAGGACATTCTCTGGGGATTTATTCCTCCATAGAACCGTATAAACAGAACTGATGCCGTTATAGTCTCCTCGCAGCTTTCTACTTACTCAGTACAATGTCCACTATTGGATTATGGTGACTCAAGTTGAGGGGCTTTTGTTTACGTGCATGCTTTTCTTGGTTGTGCTTGGGAGCTGGACCAGTTTTCATGTACACATTGGCTTTTGTGTTCATGATATTGTTGCTTTTAATATGAATGCAAGCTTAACTGTTTTTCCTTGCAGTCACCTATTTGACAAAGGTGGAAGTTTGCCATTTTAAATATTTAAATTGGCACTGAAACAAATAGTCGCTTTGAAATTGCTGAACATACACGGTTACTAGCTTTTCAAATGTGAGAATTTGCTGTTTTGCACTTGTAGGTCTAGACCAATGTGATTGGCACTATTGAACAACTTGTAAAGACTGAAAGATTAATCAATGCATCATGAAAATACCATCATATTTCTCAATAATGGAGATAATTGTAAGTTGCAGCCTTAATTCAATGATTATAATAATGTAGGATGATATAGCATGGGTATAAAATTCAAGAGGGAGAACACTTCGGCCACATTACTAACAACTTTATTAATATGCTCGGTCCATGAGAGGTAACTGTCAAGGGCAAGGTCCACTAACTTCGCCTTTTCGCCTGATATGGATAGCTCCAGTTTAGGCTGAGAAACCAATTTGTGTTGTGACCCAAAGACAATACTTTTAGTTTTGGATATATTTACTGGTATATAGTTGCTGCATAATACACAGTGGAATCTTCAGCATACATTGTTATACCTGCATTTTTCAACAGAGGGCAAAATCATTAATAAAAACTAAAACAGGAGTTGCCTCAGAATGTCCTTGGGGTATACCACATACTAAACTACTACAATCTGTCTATCAAGACCCTCTGTGATCTAGAGGAAAGATAACTCTCCTTCAATCAAGTCGCAAATGGACTGAACACTTTTTAATTTAAAATGTAACCCTTTCAATTCAAATATAATGATCAATAACATCAAATTCGGTGTGAGGTTCCTGTACTGTCCTGATGACGTATTTACGTTTTCCTTGCTCGGCCAAAACTCAGCCGAGCTGTCTGTTGGTACTGAATACTGCAGATAGTGTTCATCTCTGTGTGCATGCTGGTGTTCAGCGATACGTTCAGGTACTGGAGGACGTTACACTCGGTGCCTGTCTAATGAGCCTGCAGATACTGTGCCTGCAGGGTTTGACAAGGCAGACTTTTGTAGCTGTGCTGTTAATGAGTTTTCTTGTGACGTTTATTTGACGGAAATAACAGTTTAATCGTCTCCATTCATTTTTCATGTTTGCTTTTCCCATGGAGCAAATAATAGAAGTGTTTTTTTGATAGAACACTAATAAATATTTAATAGAAAGTAGAATCATAATTCACGAGTCACAAACAACATATACAACTAAATTGCAGTGGTTAATACATGAGAGTAAATACAATATTATATTGCCTTACATCCAATCAATACCTGCACAAGCTGTTAACGTGCCTCCTTTAGGGGTATCCTTCATTAGGGGCAAGAAAACCCCCAAAATGTACACATTTGTTTGATAAATAGTACAAATCTGACATGTCTACAGCTGACCAGTTGACAACGGGCAGTGTCCTGCTCCACTCCAACAACTTTCCCAACCTTTTGCTGGATATTGTCAAGCAGGGGTAAGGTGAGTAGGTGGAGCACTTATCCGGCGCAGTGAAGCGCACTCCACTGCAGACGGGTGCGTTATAGATTGTGGCTCAGCTCTTGATGTTCAATTTAGTGGCCAGATTCCCCGAAGCTCCCAGTTTCTGGCCCGCACTGATGGAGATGTATCACTCACTCTCATTTCAAAGAGTCTCTGGTGCTTTGTGTCACAGCAGAGCTAGCTTCTGTGTAGATTTCTGATTTCCATCATGCGGTTTGTTTATTTAATGTCAGACATTTTCTCTGCTGTTTGGCATTTATACATTTAGCAGAGGATGTCTATGGTAGTAAATTTTGCCCCGATGTTTGACGACAAGCTGCTCTCTGCAGTTTTACAGCCGATCAAGCTGCTTTCACACAGGAGGGGAGGGGAGGGGGGGGAGCTCTCGGTGGTAATGGTGGCTCTCACCCCCGGCACCTGCAGTTACTGTTTTCTAGATGGATCGATATATCTGTCAACTTCTCCCTGAGTGGAGCCTATTTCATGTCCCTCCTGTCGTTGCTGCAGGGTGCAACATGAAAAAGCTCATGTTCCATCAAAGTCTGGAAAGACTGAAAAGTTTCTTTGGGACTTTATCTTCTAGAATGAGCTTCAGAGGGATAAGCTTCAAAGAGGTTTTAAAGACAAATTGACATTTTTAACATTATACTGTGAAATACTTTTTTACATTTTTAATTCCGTTCATGAACATAGGTGAAATCAGTCCACAGTTAACCAAGTAAAGTTGTCTGGTAGGTTTAAGGAGTGTCTCGACAAATTATTCTGCTTCAGGTTTAAAACTTTGATGCTTTAGTTGCTACAATTCAGATTGCATTTCATGGATTGATTCTTTATCAACACATGATGATTCATTCTTAAATTCTGAGTTTGTGCCTTCACACAAACCTGAAAGTATAAAACCCTCTTTGATCAGCAGATATAACTTGCACATGTGATTTGTCTTTAAACTTAGCCACACATCCCTCAAAGATTTCAGCATCTGTGTTTGTGTTGACCCCAGCCTCCTTATCGCTTTTTTTGTTTTGCCTCAACCATACTCATTAAGGTAAACATGACTCGTGTTAACAGATTTTCCTGACTGTATATGGACTTGGAATGTGGCGATATGTTCCACACATCACACTTCGCACTCAACAGGGGGGATGGGGAGCACTTGAGAGTGTAGGCTTGAAGGAAAAAAAGTGTGATTTTTAGTTAAATGCTGTGTTTCCTAGAAACAAATTGTAAGGTTGGTGAGTGTTAGTTTGCCAATCACACCATCTGTTCCCTTCAGAACTTGCGAGTTGGCAAACCTCATTGGACTCGGTTTGTTCTGGACAGTTGTGTCTCCTGAAAATACTCCAGTGTAGCTGCTCCCAGGTGGCTGCATGAATATAACTTGTCAATGTGTTTGTTTATCGGAAACATGGATGGAAATGGAAAGCGGGGACTGGATGACAGGTAATGGCATTGCACACAAGTGTTGTCAGGGGTTTGGTGGGTGGAATATGGACCGAATGCAATTCTTCAAGTGTGTATGCACAGAAACAGACACAACGCACACTTGGGGATATCGCACGTGTCCTTATTGTTTGTTGAACTGTAAAGCTGTCTGTAGGAACAACTGTTGCAGCCATGCCCTAATGGTGTGAACACAGCATTAGAAGACTGAGCTAAAGGTTAACGTGTCAGCTCGTCAGGTGGGAGGGGCTTAGGACAGAGAGGGGGGGAGCTGCAATGCAAGGGCAAATTTTTTAATATTTGCTTTTTCCAGAACACTGCCTACCCTGGGGTACCACTCGAATTACCTTATGCTAGCTATCTTGCTATGATAAAACGTTATTTCAGCCAGAATAATTGTCGGCAGCTAGAACTGAGAAACCTGCTTTTGTCAATGGTCAATTAAGAAAAAGCAACTTTGCTAACGACTGCAAAACAATTTTAAAAGTCATTGTCTATGTCATGTCCCCTGCCAAAGTCTCTGAAAGAAAGTCATGTCGCAAAGGCACTGCTACGCCCCACAGGTACCTCATAAATTATTCACTTAATTGAGACACTGTTCTAGTTCTCTGTGCTGAGCGACCCAGGAAGAATTTTCATACTTCAAGTCCTTGAAGTCTTTACTTCCCAAGCACACTTTTATATTCCTGCCTGTGGAACCATCCCCTCACTGCTCATTTCTGTCCAGAGAGTGTATGCGTGTGCGTGTGTGTGTTTGCGTTGACAAGAACTCCAAGGTCGGAGTCTGCAAAGGCTCTACATGGAGCAGGATTCACCAAAATAGACCTGCTTTCTGCCTGGTAACCTGTGGAATATCAACCCTGTTTCAGTGTAAATTTAAACCCAATCTTATTTCATACCTGTGCCCGTCAGCCTGATGGACGTGTAATCATGAGAAAAAGCGAACAAGTCAGTGTTTTCTTCGGCAAATTTACTGCAGAAATACGAGTGGAGCCAGTTAAAGGTTTGAGTTAATGACAGGCGTTTCAAATGGGAGAGCTTGGCATTGATGGATGAGTGCAATTGAGATACAGTGTGGGCTAATTAGTGGAGAAGATGATGCACTTGGTTGGTCCTAATGTCCTCGCAGACGCTGGGTGTAGCCTGTCAGTCATTATTAGTACTGACCTTGACATTTGTTCGCAGGAAATCTCACAAACATTGGCTCCACAGCTTCTTTCTCGACCCTTCCTTTGTCTGTGGACTTTTTATTTTTATTTTGACAGTGTATTTATCACTCCCTCAACCACGTCCCTCTCAAGAGCCCATGTTTTACCATTAACGTCATCTATTACTGTCACTCATTGTTTAATCCTTCACTTACACGCGATGCGGCGGCCCCGTAATGTACGGTCATTGCGGATTCATTGATGGACACTTTCCCCTTAATTCTCCTTTATATATCTCCTCCTCCTTGTGTGCTTTCTATCTCTCCTCTTCTTCTCCTCCTCCTCCTCCTCCTCTCGGGCCAATCAGACCACACCTCCATGGCAACCGTCAGTGAGTGTAAAACATCCACAGATGGTGCTGACTAGAGCGAGCAGCAGGCACACTACGAGATCAAGTGTGGGAGTGTGTGTTTGTTTGTGTGTCTGAGAGAGACCGATACAGAGACTCATTGGATAACCACTGTATTGTGAAGCCAACAGGGTATTCTCTTGTAACACAGAAGAAGAGTAGGAGCGTGTTTGCTCAGAGGAGTTGCAGGAAAAGTCTGAAGAGGAGTGAGTTGTGGGAGGAAGAAAAAAAGAGACTGAGAGAAGCCCCCCAACCTTCCCAAGAAAGCAGGAGGTAAACCACCGGTAAGCAAATATTCATGACCTGACAAAAGAAAAGCGTACAACATCAGGCAGCCTTACCCTGGAGCCGCTCAAGCCCAGACACACACACACACACACACACACACACGCACACACGTGAGCCCCCAGTCACTGCTCTCCACTCACTCATGATCATTGCTCCCGCCACACGCAGACACAAGGGCCACGCTGACACCACCAGAGGAAAGGAGGAGAGAAGAGGACACTTGTCCTGTCACGGGACCTTGTCAAAGTAAAAGTCTTCCTTGGAATTCTTTTTTTTTTTTTTTTGTTAACCCTGAAGCGAGGGCTCTCCATTTGTGCTGACCTTTCCAAGCACCCTCCCTCCAAGGAGCAAAGATGAGCTGCAGGAAAAGGTGCAAGCGGGAGATCTTCAAGTTCGCACAGTACCTGTACAGACTTGTCACCGGCACACTTAACACCGGTAAGGCTCCTCGGGGACTCTGAGAGGCTCCCTCCTTGGTTTCCATTTGCGGTGATTCCCTTAAATCTGCAGCGATTGTGGCGTTGTCCTTTTGGCAGTTTGGTCAAACTTCTCCACTTGATTCATGTTTTGATAAAATTGTCTCTTTGCAAAGTTAATATTGGAGACATGGGGCTGAGTTAGGACACTTTCATACCATCAATGCCTCATAGTGTTTAGGACGTGTGTACATGTATGCCTGCAAACCCTGCTATAGCACTGTGAGGATTTCCAGAGTGGGTTTGAATTTATTACATTCTCTGCATTATAATTTGTGTAAGTGTGCGTGTATGAGAATACAGTTTGACGAGAGGCAAAGGTGAAATCATTAAAAATATGAAGGAGTAAAAAAAATCAAACAGCTTCTTGTGCAGTCTTTGGTTTTCAAAAGCAAATGTAAATGTCTTCAAGCATTTGACATTGGGTCTGCAAGCTCTGTCTGGCAGTTATCATGCTTCTATCACCTAAATAATTTTGACCATTGTAGATTTCAGATTTTCTTAAAGGTATGTGGTAAAAAACACAACCATGATGTGGAGCACTATTCTAATGCAGAATCCTTCTGAAATCCTCCCCAGAAGCAGAAATTGTTGCATACTTTGTACGCACACAGCATTTTGTTTATCAGTATTTCTGCACCTGTATCATACTGCAAAGCAGAATAGATTTTGTTTCCCTTTTTGTTCCACACACACACACACACACACACACACACACACACACACACCAAGAGCCCTTCTAATAGGATAGATAGACTCTATGGTACTAACAATATTAAGTCTGGGATTATCGTGGATTACCGTCTGATTACTCCATGAGAAGTTCAATACAGGATAAGGTTAGCAGCAGTAGCATCTTCTGATAACTGGCACATATTACTGGTATGCATCAAACTGGAGCTAAGGGTTATTGACATACGTCATTAAGGCTGCGTTGCCATTGCTTATCCTTGGACCATACAGTGCAGTGTGTATGTGCCTTTTTTGTTTATACAGTACTGGTGAGCTCTACAGATGATGTGACTAGACTAGTAGCAAACATTGACACCCTTGCCTTCCATGGCTCTTCTTTCGCTCTTGGATTAACTGAGCTTCGCTGTCAAGTAAAATGTTGATCATCACGTTGCATGGGCGAGATGGTGCGAAGCCCCAGAAAGGTGCTACATGAGCATGCTAATGAATTCCAACATGTTTCTGTACATGCGAGACTTGCACTATATTTTTTTCTAGCACTGGCTCCTTCCTACTTTGTTGTATTTAGAAATAAACACACATTGAAAAAAAAGGGGGACTATTCTCATACAGTAGGGAATAATTCCATACATCCATGGCCTACTACCATCTCCTTGACCTGAGGGACAGAGTGGAGGTAAGGGGGGAATGGGAGGCAGATCGTTTAGGTCATGGTATTAACATGATGAATGTAGTATATTCGGTAGTGATCTCCTCTAGTGTCCTCATAGGTTTGGTTGATTAAAAAGACGTGTCATTGCTTCATACTGCACTTTAGGCTACAGTGTTTGTTTGGGTGCACAATGGCCTTTTAATATCAGTGTCGGTCCTTATTAATTATTGATCCTGTTAAATACAAGGCTGGATATATTTCCCTGTGGACAAACGCAATTACTGTACGTGTGCTGAGTAAGAAAAACATTCTTTATTTATTGGCCACATTGTCTGAAGAATATTAGTTTGGTTGGTAAATTCTGAACTTCAGGACAAAAGAAAACTTCAGCCGGCACTACTGGAGCCTGTTTTCCATCTTTGGAAGCCACAAGAGGATGGACTCAAATGCCAGCTGTCAGCATATCAAGCAAACTTTGATGTTTTGGGACACATTGTACAACTACAACCTTTGTGACCAAAAATTAGAGCACGACGTTACACTGACATAATTCCGAAACCCATTAGCAGTCATTCATGAGATAATTTCTACTCGAGTCGATCCATTTCTCCATGAACGCCATATTAACTTATCTTACACAGCCTGTGCAGCAGATTAATATAAATGGAGTTTGATGTAACAGAACAGACCTGGACAGATTGAGCTGTACATCACATCTGTAATGTCGTGAATGCTTTTTGTCCACACAAGCTTTTTCTTGATATAGCGCAAGATCTATCTACAAGATCATCTGTTTACAAGATGTATGTTCAAGGTCCAATTTTGACCCCATTACCCTTGTATACACGGAAACATTCCTAGCACTGATGTGAAGTTATAGTCCAAAGATGATTTATCTGACTTCTTCAGTGAGCACAGAAACTATTCAAGCCACCAGTGCTGCCCAGTAGGCCTTGAATTTCCCCACTGTAGTGGAAAAAAGAGAGGAAATAAATCTTACAGGTTATAAATCTAAACAGCAGTGTCAGCATATATGCAACACATTGGAAGGCAGGAAGTTATTTGTTGCACACACCAGTGAAAATCTTCATCTATTCCAACGTTTCCAACACAGCCTCTGTGACGGATGAGCAGAGAGAGCTACCGGTCCACCAGCGTATCGGTCAGGATCATTCAGACGTCTTAAAGCTGGGTGATTGATGCTGCTAACTTCTAAGTGACACATTTTCAATTTCCATTCTCTATGTAGTCAGCACCACTGGTTGTGCAGTGAGATGGACAAGTCTTTTTTTTTTTTTATTTTTTTTTTTTTAAACCTATGCAACTGTATCACTTTGTTTTACTCTGGAGCAAAACAGTTTTGAATCTTTCACTGCATCTTCACTGATTGCTTCTTCCCTCAGTGTTTTGGCTGTAAGGCGTCTCAGCTTCTGTAATGCATCATCATTTTTTTCTCATCAGCACAGGCTCACATGCTCGTATCTGAGTCCAAGCTTATTGTATGAATTGTATGTATTGTAATCATAATACATACCCTCAAGACCCCCTGCACTCACCTTTTTATAAAAAAACAACCCAAAAAATTGTAAAAGTTTGCTTTGTATCTCTTCTTTGTGCGATCAAAGCTTTGATGAGCCTCTGTGAGCATTTTACCTGCTTTTATGGATTTCTAGCGGTTAGATGGTCAGATTTAGCTTGTCAATGCAGTATTTTTTTTTTTTGGCGCAGTGATGATACTTATTTCCGTGGCCTTTTTCTTCGTAATGGAACAATGCGGAACGACTGTAATGTCTCTGAGCTTTCAAATGATTATATATTGGTTGCGCAGGGATGCAGTAAATAGCAAACAAGCATTTATTTCTTCCCTCAAGATGTTTCCTTTTTATTGCTCAATCATCTAAATGGGATTTTTTTGTTTTCTCAAATGTGCAAAATTGTGCTGGATTTCCACTACTATTCCTTTCTGAATTTGGTGTATACCCGTTCAGGGGACAGGGCACAGCTTGTCTGGGTCAGGACTGCAGGGGCAACAGGGCAAGCAGAGAGACGTCTACGTCCTTTCTCCTGGAATTTTTTGCCAGCTTTCCTTCAGCACTCGCACCAGTCCACATCCCCCACTTCCCCCCAAAGGGATTTTCCTTAAATAGTTTATTTTTGGAGATGTGGCTTGAGTTCAAGGTCCTTTGAGACAATGTAGTCCGAAACCGAAGAATAATATCTGTCTGGAATTTACTTTTCGAGATAAACCTTTTCATCTACTGCTTAGGATAATTTGTGGATATGTTGAATTACTGAAAAAGCCTATTTAGTTCTACACTAATTAAAAGTTGAGAAAGGGGTCTTATCTGGTGCCAAAGAAACTGAAATCAAAGAACATGAAATGTACTGCAAGGGAAAAGTCTGTTCTTTTTGAGTTGAGATGTGGAGGTACTCATCCACTCCATGGACACGAGACGATGCTGTGAAAAATGTACTCGGTGACTTTTCAGCATGCACTTGGGAGCATGTGTGGGGGGGCCTGCCCAGTGACGCGAGGACCCGTCTTTGTTTCCCTCTCTGTGGTTTCCTGATGGCTATTAGCAGGTCATGTTCCACCTGTCCCATGAGGACAGCACGTTCAAAGCACATAATCCCTGACCAAACACTGAATATTTGATACCCACAGGCAGGCTGGGTTGGCATCACGTCTGTGCAGCGGTGTCCCCACTCTGAATGGCAAGTAAAGAGTTGCTATTTAACATTGCTTGATGTAGTGTATCGGCTGTGGTTTAGAGCAGACAACATAGTCGTAATGTATAGTGTAGCGTCTGCAAAGTTTTAATATAGATGGTGATAAAACATTGCACATACATAAATATATCACAAGCTAGTGTGTCAGGACATAGCTGCTTTGCTTATAGAGAAACTTAATAACCTTTGCTTTGTGGATTAACAGCCTTTGAGCCACTTCTCTAACAATTTGCATAAATGTATGCATCTTTGCCACCTCTACAGAGTTCAAAACATATTCAAGTAGAACAAAATGACCAAGGGAGCATCCAATTGTTCCTCTTCATTTTGTTCTTCAGCTGGTTTATAGCTTCTTTTCTTAAATTTATCACAATGTCCAAAACCACAAAGTAGTATACTTTCTGTAGCACCACGTTTCTGCCGTGATGTTTGGTCAGGCAACAATAACAGATGGCTGACCATGTTGCATAATGTTTTCTTTCACACCCAGTGAGCTAACATGGCATCTGCTTGACTCACCTGACAAACCTCAAACTTCAGAGTGTGATACACACATACGCCTCTGTCCATACTGTGCAACACTTGATTTGTTAGTTATGAACTATAACGGAAAAAAAAGTGTGAGAAAGTGTCCATATAAAGGAGTTAAATGCAGCAAACGATTGTAAACAAACTCTTGTATATTATTTATGAGCAATGTATGTCCTTCATGCTCTTTACGTTAGTTTCATAAATATGTGAGAGGAAACTAATGATAATGCACACTGTGTTGTTTCTTTCCCTTCTGAGTCTACTGTGAACTTACTGTACCAAGATGTAGTTGCACTGACTTGAAGACAGAACAGGATGTTGTAGTGATCCAGAACATCGAAGCATATCTGCCAAGC